TTTACCTGCATACATGGGTGGAATGAACGAGAGTGGAAAGTGAGGATGGGTGAGTGCAACTCGCATCTTCTTCGCGATTTACCCTGTAATTATCCTCATCAAGAGAAGGAGGGAGGGAGGGTTTGATATGAGAGAAGCGCTCAGTACACCTACATTTATATCGCCCTCCCCCTTCCCTCAAGCGCGAAAAAACCTTGAGGAGGAGTAATGGGAGGAACGGGATAAATGGGGTGGAGCCGGAGGAATGAACCGTTCTGTGATTTGGAAATTGTCGAATTGGGAGAGGGAGAGAGATAATGGCTGGGAAATTATAGTGAGGTTTGTTGCTCATCGAGAGGAAAAATTAGGTTGTAGCTTTGCTAGATGAGGGAGTTTAAAATAATTGAGTACTTAAACGAATTAAATTAAAATTAGATTGCTGGTAAGCCCTGTTCGACAGTATTTTCTGCTGTTTTAGTAATTTGAATATATCAACACCGAGCAAGTTTGAATACATACTCGCTTGACTTTAGTTCGTTTTTCCTATTTATTATTGTACTTAAAATATCAGGAAATTTGTCTTCATTTGGAATGAATTCAGCTGGATTTTTTATTTGTCAAATACGTAGGCAAAGAAAGAAGTTATAAACACATTTCTAATTATGTTTTAAATAATTAGTAACCGCCAGAAATGCTAGAAGTTAGTTCAATTTGATTGGCTGTTAAAGGATAGGTTTGAGCAAAAGAAGAAGAATTTTGATTAAGCAATCAAGGAATTGTCCTTTAAGAATAAGCTATTTTTCCCTCTTTTTGTCTAACCTTAAATTTGAAGTGTAGAAAGGTACTCATTTCGTGAGTAGTCTAATAGTTTTATTAATTTATAATAATTAAAACACTAATGTGGTATTTCTGCCATTTGCTATTTTCTTTGTCCATTATCTAACTGTTGGTTAGTTTTTTACATTCACAAAGCCACAATAATATTCCCAAAGTTCCTTCAAATACTTTATGCTGTTTCTCATTCCTTTTCATAAATTCAAAGGCTAGTATGATTATTTGATTCTCAGTTGAACATGATTCATTATTTATTGTTTATTTTCATCACTTAAAATGCACGCGGTAGTTTGAAATTTTCAGGGAAGAATGAAGCACGTAGGGACACATATTTTAAGTGAAATTTGAACAGGATCTATTTGAAATCTTTGCAGTTATTTTCCATAACTGCTTTTGCAAACTTTATATTTTTTAATATCATCAGCGATAGACTTACCTCCACGTGGTGCACCCTGGGCAAC